CCCCCTCTGTATATCTGACTTTCCAATAAAAATAAATAAATCTTTTTTAAAAAGTGGAGCAACTAGGACTCAGATTGGTACCCATATCGGATGCTGACATCACGGGAAGTGAATTAACCTGTTGCACCACAGCACTGGCCTCCTGGCTGAATTCTTGACCACAGCTTTGCACTCTGACTAGGGCCTTTCCCAATTGGCTAAAGACACAATCGCGTGTTCACAAACCTAACCCTTTGCAACTCCAGGCAAAGAGAAGTCAGTTGCTACCAGGCTTCTCGGGCATTGCACAACAGCCAGGGTCCAGTGGGCACATGGACAAGTCGAGCTGCACCCTGGGGAGCCCACCTCCCAGGGGATCTTGCACACACTCCTGGGAGCAGGAATGTGACTTTGCTATCTCGGATCTCAGTCATGTGTCTTTGGTGGGGTCTCCATCACGGTGTGTCAGCGAACAAGGGTGACTACCTCTGTCAATCACTCAACCTGAGGTGACTGACTCTGAGCCACGCATGTGTTTGGGGATTCCAGGAGGCAACAACCTCTTCCACAGGAGAACAACCTCCACAACCCAAAGCAGAGAGCAGGAGATGCAAAGATGTGTCTTAGCTTTGGCTAAAGGTGCATCATTAAAAGGCACTGGCATAAATTATCCTGCCTTTAAAAAAAATCCATATAACATTAAGAAAACTACCGAGTATAAAATGTCAGGGGCAGAGATGTGTGGATTTGCAGGGGTTAGCAAAGTGGGCCTGGGGCTCCCTGTGTATCTCAAGCAGCATAAATTACAAATATTGACTGCAGCTAAAATAGCATTTGCAATGAGCTCAATGTTGCAATGTGTTATCCAGCCCATTTGCTTTTAAAAAAATTAAAATATGAATCAAACTCAGATGACAAAGAAGTTCAACTTCTCAGGAAAAATCAAATACATCATCAAAAGGTCACAATTGGTAGACAAATTGGTGTTAAAATTTATTACTTGTTTGCGAAATGTACTGTTGATCATTGGTAACTGCTAAATGCTTGGGCGCCTCTGACAAAAATAAATAAATAACGCAGGCACTCTGCATTCATTAAGGGAAAAACATGAAAAAGTACCTGGAATGTTAAAGACACATCTGGAGAAGGAGAGGGGAAGAGAAGGCAGCGCGGCTGGGGAGGAGGGAGCACAGAGCAAGGGAGGGACAAGGCATTGGCAAAGCAGGCTCGCCCTGGTTGATTGGGCAGATCTGAGATGACCGGTGTTCTAGAAAGCTCTAAAGTCAGAGTGACCACAGTGAGCCAGCCAGGGTCCCAAGCGCCCGGAGGAATGAGCTGGGAAGATTCTGAGCCATTCTGCTCTCTAATCTGAAGACCCCTGCCTGATGTTGCACCTGTTCACTCACAGATGGGACTCATGCCAAGACTCTGGCCTCACAAGGTGAGACCACACTGAGGCTGGATCCAGTTCCCAGCCAGTGCCAGGCACCAAACAAACAATATGAGCCTGTTTGTGTTTTGCCTCCAACATCCTCTTCCCACACTGGGCATCAGTCAGAGCCCATTGGCACATGGCACTCTGCTGGTCAAAGAACTGGTTCAGGTACAGCCTTGGGCCCGTGAATAGTGAGGCGTGAGGAGACATTGGCTATAGATTCTAGACAGGGCAGTGCATGGTCTTCCAGGAGTGCCCTCTGATCTGTGAGGAATGAGCCATAGTGAACAGTCTGGGCCGTGGCAGGTACAGTGGGGTAAGAACAGGCTTTCTCATGTATATCACTGGACATGACTCCTGCTGGATCGAAGGCCCCCACCCAACAGACTGAGACTGAATGATTCACTCACTGCCCCCCTAGCTGCTAGAGAATTGTTCCAGGCCTGGGAGGGTGGGGTACTCAGTAGAAACCCTAGGAGAGTTGGGGGAAATAGCTGAATAGTTGGATGTATATACCATCCTGTCACTGAAAGCCTTTCTAGTGGGCAACTTCCCAGCAGTGTTCAACACAGTACAGGCCTTTGATAAACAGAAAATACACTTGTGAATCGACAGTTGCATAGATGGACAGATGAAAGAGAGAGGGGTAGAAGGATGAATAAAAGATGAATGGATGGGGCCCAGCCACTTTAGTGGCTAAAGTCCTCACCTTGCATGCACCAGGATTCCACACAGGTACCGGTTCTAATCCCAGCAGCTCCACTTCCCATCCAGCTCCTTGCTTGTGGCCTGGGAAAACAGTTGAGGATAGCCCAAAGCCTTGGGACCCTGTACCTGTGTGGGAGACCCAGAAGAGGCTCCAGCCTCCTGGTTTCAGATAGGCTCAGTTCCGACCATTGTGGCAGCTTGGGGAGCGAATCATTGGATGCAAGATCTTTCTCTCTGTCTCTGTTCCTATCTGTATATCTGACTTTGTAATAAAAATAAATGAATCTTAAAAAAAAAAAAGATGGATGGATGGCTCCATAGATGGAAGAATGAATGAATGAAAAATGGGAGGATAAAAAGAAGGAAGCATGCATACGTTGCTATAGTTTAGGGCCAAGACTCCTGTGTCGGGAGGGTTGCGCTTTCAAGGTCTCAGCCAACCACGCATTCTGCTTCTCCGCAGGTGTGCCTTAGCTTTTCCTACCCCCATGAATTTTCTCATGCCAGACCCTCTGCACGACACGCATCTGTCGCTCCCCTCCTGGTGAGACCTTTCTCACTTCCAGCATACGGTCTCTTTCTGGCTATTTAGTCACTCCCTTTTACCAGCATCTCTCACTGCTCATATGACCCTGGTCTCCAGTCTCATTTCACTCTCAAGGAAAGATTAGACCTGAAACCTCCCCTTGGTATCAGGTCCCAATGTTTCCCCTTTAACCTTAATTTTAGGAATTGCATCTACTCCCACGATGAGCCTCTGTTGACTTCTTCAGAGCACCCTAAATGGTCTGAGCCACAATCCCATCACGCTGCTTGAACCATTGTTCAGGGCAGACAATTAGGGGCAAAGACTATACCTGTCCTGAAAGTTACATGAGACATGTTATATATTTCTATCACATGAACACATGAATTACAAGTTCTGTTCAGCTCGTTTTATCTCCAGAGCAGGAAGGAGTGACTTCCAGTTTCAATTGCTGGGTCCTTGGCTCAAGAGTGAGGTGTTCAGCAGTACTCCCAGATGTCCCACGGTTGGGACTGCTTGGAAAGTGTGGACACTCTGTGACTTGCAGTGTGGCCAAAGACTCCAAGTCACAGCCCAGCAATGCAGGACCTTCTGTTTCGGAGAGCCCCTTCTCATCTCACTTTTAGTCACCTTGACAAGGAGCACTTCCAACATCGACTTCTCATCAACCCTTGGCGCCCAAGACACACCTGACATGGTCCTCAAGACACAGATCTCCTAAAGCAGAGGGATGTCTCCCAGACCACTTCAACTCTGCATTTGACAAATGAGGAAGCTAAAGTCCAGATTAGGGAAGGAACCAACCTGAGATCCCACACCTACTTACTGATGACCCAGGAGTGAGACCTTCTTATCGATGGACATTTAAGCTTTGGAGATCAAGTCAAATGTCCGATAAGTGTGGTCCCACATCTACTTATTGATGACCCAATGATGAAAACTAAATAGTCTCACTTGGCAAGCCCACCTTCTGGCAGGCTGTCAGTGTAAATGACAGGTTAACTCTCATCCTAGGCAGTTTCTGGTGTTTCAGTACAAGTGTTTATCTGATGAAGAGTCTGCCTCAACTGGGCACACGCTTGCGAGTCTCAATCAGAAAGCAACTGAGTGTTGTAGTTCTGCCCTCTGTCCACTTACTGGGTGAAAGAGTCACAAAGGCTCAGGCAACCATGCACAAGAGATGTGGAGCCCACACTTGAGGAGTTCCTCGCTGGGCCTGTTTATTCATTGGTCCCCAGAAAGCAGGGCAGGCCTTCTGCATAGCCACCACCTCCAGGCTGGGGACTGGAGCTGAAGCCCCACCCCTGCCTGTCCAATGCTGAAATGGGGTGGGGTGGACAGAGGGTTGTTGGGGTGAAGACGGGATGGGGGAATTGGCTGTCGGCATTTTTGTCTCATCTGCAGACAGAACCCACAGCACGAGCTAGGGAGCTTGGCTCTGCATTTTCCTCCTTGGCGGGTGTGTGGAGTCTCAGGCTGCCCTAATCTCTGCCCTAATCCCCACTGCCTGAGGAGAGTCTGCTCAAGTCCTTAGCCCAACGCCCCTCGTTCCCTTCGGAACAAGGACCACAGGACATAGACCACGGAAAGCCTCTGCCCTTTCATGCCAGGGTTGGGCCCTGACTGCCACTCACATGCAGAAACCCAAAGTAGTTTGGTGCCTCCATGCCCAGAACGCCAGAGGATCCTGCCTTCCAGGTGCACTGTGCTGACTGTGCCAGGCCCAGACATGGAGAAGAACCTCAAAAGGCGTGATATAGACAGTTCCCAAGCCAAGGTCCTCAGCCCTCTAACATGCAATGTGGCAGATGCTTCCAGCAGCTGGCCCCTGGCATCCAGGCGACAGCTGGACTGGTTTCTGGAATCCTGGCTCTTGCCTAGGTCAGCCCTGGCTGTTTCAGGTACTTTCAGAGTGAAGTCCGTGAAAGGAGAAAAAAAATTCCTCTGCTTCTGACTCTTTGCCTTTTAAATAAATAAAAATATGTCCAAGACAATCAACAAACTAGAATCTTGGACTTCCCAGGTAAGTGCTTTTCCTCTGACACCACCGGCCTTGACCTTGACCGTGGAGGACAATCCGCCTGGGTCATTTTCATATACTAGCCCCACCCCTTCCTGAGGCTCAGAACAGGGCTGGAGTTCTGGGGGTGGAGCGCCTGAAGCACCCAGGGAGGTCATGGTGTACAACCAAATCAACGACTCCGCACACGAGGGAACCGGGACTTGTCCCATTGCTCGTTGCTTCTGGGACACGAGCTCCTGAGAAGGTCAGCAGGAAAATGCAGAAAGACCCTCAGCTCACCCTTGTCCATCCCCCACCTTCAAGACACAGGAAAGGACCAGCTTTGAATATCAAGTTCAATGTCCAATTTATTTTTTATAACTTGAAACCAGAACAAACTTGGTTTTGAACAAGCGTACAAATGAAATGGGAGACACATGCTGAACTCAACATTGTGACATTAAGGGGGAAAAGAGGCCCAAAATCTTACACAGAGAATAAAAGGAACAATAAATATTATACTAAGCCATATTGAAATGACCTTCTGTCATCTCAACATTTTATCCATAATAAAAAAAAAGTGCCCGTTTTTGAAACAGAGCACAAATACCAAGCAATAATAAATAGTTCCAAACTTGTAGTAAAAGACAAAACCTCCAAGTAAACAACAAAAGCTCATACAATAAGTAATAGAAAAGGTAATAAAAATATTTCGCCTTGCCAGTACAAATGCAAACAACTTAGATCAGTGGAACTTGGCTTTGCAGGGCTAAGATACAAAGAAGCACCAAATCACGGCTTTGCCTGTGGCCAACAAACCTTCGACTGGCGCTGACTCGGGACCAGGACGAAAGGCTAATTCCTCGCTTTTCACATTTTGCTTGAGTCACGCAGTCTCCTCCTCTCCCCATGAAAGACCCTTGAACGGCCAGCGGCAGGTTCCAATGTGGGGCAACTCTGGGCAAAGCTGTGGCAGTGTGGAACCGGCCTGAGGTTGGCGGTGCCAGCAGCCCCTTACGCTGGGCCAGGTGCTTAGTCGGGGCTTGACTCCTGAACGCCTACCAAGAGCTACACTCCGTCCTCTACAGGCGGCACACACACCACACACTTGTGCTTTGGGATGGCTTAGTCTGGCATTCTGGTGATATGAGTGAGCTGGTGAGCGGCTGCCAGCTGCTCCAACTACAGGGAGGCCACCCCAAAGGCTCGCCAAAGCCTCAGGGGCCTCCCCTGCACCGGGGCAGGCAACCCCTGAGTTCAAGTGGAGCAGGTGGGAGACAGAAATTCTGCCTTCATCTCCCACCCTCTCCCTCTCTCTTCTCACTTTGCAAAAGGTTAAGCGGCAAGGAGAAAAGTGCGCATCCAACAGAAAAGCTCCCGACGGCTAAAGGACCGCCCCCAAAGAAAGCTTGGCTATAAGTTCATCATCAGAAAACAATGGGTTCTTACATTTCCTAAAATTAGAAAAAAAAAAAAATGGCTTCCTGATACAGGTATTTAAAAAAAAAAAAGTGGATTCCCTTGTCAAAAACAAAAATCACCATTTTATTATCTTAAAGCTACTTGGCTTTACAAAAAAAAAAAACTGAGAAAGAGAGAGGAAAGAAAGCAGAAAGAAATTAAATGCAAATATGCAAATACAAAGAAGAGAGAGAGGAGCCATGGAGGATGCAGGGGGCGGGGAGACAGGGAAAGGCACGAAGTCATCCCAGGCCTTCGCACGCGCAGGGTTTCAAAGGCAGCAGCAGCAGAGGAGAGGGGATGGTCCTGGCTGAGTCCTCCTCCGGACACCCCACCTGCTGTGGTCTCAGGGGTCCCACCCTGGTCAGCTACACCAGCATGGACCACGCCCGTCGGGCTGGCAGGGACCAAAGCAGCAGTGTACTGCTCTTCCTTCTCGGAAGAGCAGAGAAGGTGGCAGTGGTGGTGACCGCCTAAGAAATGTGGCTGGTGAAGAACTCACACGACCTCCGCCCGGCTCTGTTGTTCTCTGCACCTGACCCCTGGCCCACGGCCTCTCGGAGCGAGGGAGGACTCTGGCCGGAGGAACTGACATCCTTACAAAAAACCATCTTTGCATTCCACGAAGAATTGCCCTTCGGCCTGCTGTGGCCACTCCAAGGAACCCTAACGCACGGTTCCGGGCGTTCAGAGCGAAGCCCGTTGGAGCCGATGCTGACAAGTATATATACACCTGAAATGACCGGTGAGCCGAAGCACTGATGCCCTTCCCTTGGCTCGCTTTCCCAGGGGCTGTCAGACAACCCTTGTTCTGCACAATAGGACTGAACATACAAATTTTTTTTTTTGCAATATTTTATCCTGCCAAATTAAAAAAATATATTATGGCAGCCTGTTTGTTTTTGTTTTTTTTTTTCTTTTTATTTCCAAATTCACTAACAAAAAGGTACATTAAATCCCTTTAAAAGGACAAGCTTACAGTTAAAAAATTACAAGCTCCAGTAAAAATACAGCAAGTGCCTACATCGTATGAACCAACCGAGATATCCATTCCAGAGGGAGGTGGGGAGAGAGAAATAAGTACAGGGCAGAAATGGGATTTTTTTTCTGCAAAGCAATAACAATATTAAGCACTTTTTTCTACATACTTTTTCTACATGGTGTAGCAATCCCCTTTTAATCCCCAAATACAAGTTTCTATACATTTTTTTTTGAAATAAAAATTCAACACCCAAGGCAGAAAAAAATTTACTAAACTCTGACTTTACAGTTACTGTGACAAGAACAAATTTATAGACCCACCATTGAAATTTTACTGCAACATTTTCAAGGTCAAGAAGAGGGTTTTTTTTTTTTTTCTTGTTTTGTAAAATGCCCAGGCATTCTCGATTATTACAAATACTGGTCCACTTTTACAGTAATCAAGAAATTTTAATATATATAATATATACTAAAACCCCGCCACCAAAGAAAACAATAGTCCACACAGCCACGGAGGCATTTTATAGAACCTAGTAAGCAAACTTTGAAAACAAAACAAAACACAACGAAAAAAGATCGCTCCAACACACACACACACAATTCTTTTTTACCCTTGTATGTATCCAATACTGTAAACGTATTTTTAAGACAGAGTGCACTAAATTTAACTTTAGAAAAACTTAGCCGTTGCTCCTGAATGGTTTTAGTTTTCATTCAATGATACCAACGTGTCAACTTGTGTCACTTGAGTTCTAATTCAGCAGCAGGTCACCCCACCTCTAAGCAGCGTCGTCCCACAATCAAAGGGGTTGAGGATCCGGCTCACAGGTGTCCGAGATTGTGCTGGGTTTATTTCTTCATTTGATTGGATCTCATATGGCATTTTCACGTCCTCTCTCTCCAACCAGGATATTTTTTTAATCTAAAGTAAATGTGGCTTTGTTGGTGTCTAAAGAATGTACTTTTTCTCACTTTACTGTTTTTAAAAAGTCTTTTCATTTCAAAAAAAAAAAAAGTTTTGCATTTGTCTCAAGAGACTCTGATAGGAAGATCAGTTTTCAAGGCACTCACATCAAATTGAATGGCAGTAGAAAAACTGTCCAATAAATTATTATTTTATTCGGTTCTTTATAGTGCCAGTATTGTGAATGCCACGCTTAGCAACACTGACACTCGGTCTCAGCTGTCCCTTAAGTTTAACCCAACTCTGGGCCAAAGAGAAGAATATGCTGCAATTTCTTGTTTAGAAGCCATTTAATTTAAATGCAAACGAAAGAGCTTTAAAGTGCGGTCAACAGAACCCAAATGTTTAATCTGGTCAGTCCAATGTTCGCTTCCTTCCAGCCTAAGGAGACCGGGACACCTGGGGAGGCAGCGCAGGCCCCCCGGCTGGGTCCCTTCCTAAGATCCCCACACACCTACACACTGTCCCTAGAGCACACAGGAGCTTCCTCAACTGGCCAGCAGAGCCTGTGTCTTCCTGACAAATGACCCGTCCATCACCACTTGCAGTAACACAGGGCGTGGGAGAGGGAGGAAGGGAGGCCCGGAGGCCAGGACACACTCACTGCAGGCCAGCACCATCTGACTGAGGAGGGAGACCCCTGGCTCGGCCTCACCTGGGACACGCAGGAGAGAGGGCATCGGGCTGCCCCAGCATCCTACAGGGCTCAGCTAGCTGCTGGCCACGCCCAACCTCCGAAGGATGCTCTCCCATCACTTCCCAGGGCCCTGGGGACCCTGGGGCCCTGCTGAGTTTCTGAGATGCCTGCTCAAGGGGGGTCACCACGACTCCCTAACCACCCCTAAGATCCCCCTACAGAATGTGACAGCTGAAACCAACACAGCAAAGGCCTCTGTGACTCTGCAGCTCCTCGGTGCTACGTCTGCATTCCGATTCTGAAACAAAGTGCTACAATGTTTAGGGATTGTTATCCGCTCTACACACCCTCCCAAAAACAAAACAAAAACCAAAGCAAAAACCGCATGCCACATTTTATTTCAGGACCAAAAAAAAAAAAAAGAATAAAAAAGTAAACAACTTCCAAAGTCATTTAAGTGTTGGCTTCTTCACAAGAAATTACACATGCTTAGCTTAAATCTCAAAAAAGCAGCGCCCCTCCCCCAAATTATAATTTAAAAGATATACTTCTTCTCTACATTGCTTGCGAGTCATTGCTCAGGCTACTATGGGATTTTGTTTAAAAAGAAACTAGAAGGGATGGATACCCAACAAAATCTTTTAAAGAAATTGAAACAGAAAGAATAAAAAGTACCTGCACATGCCAAAAAAATTGACAAAACCCAATAAATACAGAAATTATTGCACAGTTAAAAGGCTCCACAATTTTTACTGCCTTAATCAACCCTCGGGTTTCCATAGGACTTCGCAGACACAGGTTAGGTTGGGGGGCTGGCACACCCGGAAGGTCCCCCAGTGCAGGAAGCAGGTGCGCAGGGCACCGCGATGGCAGGGACGCGGAGGTGAGTCAGGGCCACGCAGGGCGGCGGGCGCGCGGTTCGGGGGGCACACAGCGCCCCGGCTTAGCTCCGCTCGGCCTGCTCGATCTTGACGTCGTTCGTCAGCAAGTGCTCGCCATGCCACTTTTTCATGTGTTTCTCCAGGGTGCTGTAGACACTGAAAGGCATCTGGCAGATGTCACAGCGATACACCTCCTTGCCGATCTGCCCATGCGTCTTCATGTGGCGAGTCAGCTTGCTGCTCTGGGCGCACGCGTAGTTGCACAGCTCGCACTTGTAAGGCCGCTCCCCGGTGTGGCTCCGCCGGTGCACGGTGAGGTTGCTGCAGTTTTTGAACACCTTGCCGCAATACTCGCACGTGTCGCTGCGCCGGCCCTCCTTGGAGCTGGGCCTCCCGGGGCCCGGGCCGCCCAGGTGCGGCGTGCTGCCCCCGCTGGCCGTGCCGCTGCGACCCGACAGGCCGCCGTCCAGCAGGTCCCCGGGCGGCGTGGAGAAGCGCAGGCTGCCGTTCTCGGACGAGTGCTCCGACGACGTGGCGAAGGGCGACTGGCGCGCGTCCGTGAAGCCCAGGAAGGGGTCCTTCATGAAGTGGCGCGACGCGGCGTAGCCCACGAGCCACTGCGAGTACACGTTCTCGGACGGGATGAGCGCGGCGGGCGGCAGCTCCAGGTCCTTCTCCACCTTGATGCGCTTGGCCGCGCTGTTGAGCCCGGGGCTGGGCAGCGGGGCGGGCTTGCGCGGGAAGAGGCCGGGGAAGGGCTCGGCCCCGGGTGCGAAGCCACCGCCGCGCCCGTTGACAGCACCGCCCGTCCCCGCATCTCCGCAGCCGCCCGCGTCGTCGTCGTCGCCGGGGTCCACACCGACGCCCACTCCCGCGGCGCGCTTGAGGAAGGCGCCTCGCTTCTGCTTGTCGGCCAGCAGCTCGCCGTACTGCGGCGGCAGCGCGCCCAGGCCCACGTTCTCCATGACCTTGCCCAGCACCAGCGCCTTCTCATCTGCCAGCACCTTGGCCGCGCCGCCCACGCCCGCGCCAGGCACCCCGGCCCCGCCGCCCACGCCGAGGCCCGCGCCCACGCCCGCGCCCGCGCCCAGGCCTCCGCCGCCGCCTCCGTTCTCTCGGTTGCGGCTCAGCTCCGAGTCCATGCTGAAGCTCGACTCGGGCCGGCTCTCGTTCTCCAGCAGCAGCTCCTCCTCTTCCTCCTCCTCCTCCTCGTCCTCCTCTTCGGGCTCGTGGCCCAGCGACGGGTCGCTCTCGTGGTGGCGGAAGTCGCCGTCAGCTGCCTTGAGCCCATCGCCGGTCAGCTCGCTGGTGCCAGGCTCGGGCGAGCTGGCGGCCGAGAGCCCGTCGTCCGAGCGCCCGGCCAGCGAGCCGGCCTTGTGCATGTGCGTCTTCATGTGGCGCTTGAGCTTGCTCGCCTGCGAGCACGCGTGGTCGCACAGTTGGCACTTGTAGGGCTTCTCGCCCGTGTGGCTGCGCCGGTGCACGATGAGGTTGCTCTGAAATTTGAAGGTCTTGCCGCAGAACTCGCACGACTTGCTCTTGGCCGGCGGCTGCGGGGGCGGCGTGCCCCCGGGCGGCATGGGGGGCAGCGGCGGCGTGCTCAGGAAAGGGGACTTGGGGCTGGGCTGGAAGGGGTTCAGGAGCCGATGCACAGGGTTGCCACGGCCTGGCGACACGGGCGGCGGCGTGGGGTTGTTACCCGCCAGCTCGCGCAGCCGTCGCGAGAAGTCCATGGCGGGCGAGTCGATGCCCATGGGGTTCAGGCGCATGACTCGGTCGAAGGCACTGGGGTGCTGGGCGACGAGCCCCATCTCCTCGGCGCTCAGACGGTGCGCGTCCAGGTGGTGGCGCGGCGGCGGGCTGAAGAGCGGTGGCGTGCCGGGCAGGCGGCCCTCGCCGAAGCCGGGGTGGTCCCGCAGGATGGGGCCCGTCATGCGCAGCAGGTTGAAGGGGTTGCTGTCGCCCAGGAAATTCATGAGAGGCGACTGCGCCACGGCCTCCGGCCCGAGCGGCGGCGGGATGGTGAGCCGCGGCGTGAGGGAGCTGCTGGCCGGCCCGGGCTCCAGGTAGATGCGGAAGCCGTGCGTGTTCTGCGCATGCTGCAGCAGGAACCACGCGCTGTTGAAGGGCTGCTTGCATGTTGTGCAAATGTAGCTGGAAGGCTCATCTTTACCTGGGGAGACACACGGAGAGAAAAGCAAGAGGGGCGTGTGAATGGGGAGGCCGATGCGAGCGCATGGGGTCAAGGGGCAGCTACAGAAACCACACCAGGCACGGTGGCCTCGCTTTGGCCCCCTGGGGAGGCCGTGTGTGGGAGGATGCCGCAGGCTGGGCAAATCTTGGCCACCAAGGCCACTAGGGCTCTCTGGACTGGAAACCAGCTAGACCAGGTGGACTCCTTGAGGCATGGGGGGTAGTCCCTGGCCTCCACCTCCTAGGTGTCAGGTGCACCCTGGCCCTTGGTCACTGGGACTGACCATTTCCAAATGCCTGTGTCCTTGATCTGACCCTGTCTGACTCAAGGACATCTGATCAAAACACCGACTGCGGCTTCAGCTGCAGGAAGGGGTACTGGGGGTTTCCTGCAGTAGGGTCTGCCCCCAAAGCAGAGTGTGGTGTGGGGAGACAGCTGCCCCATACCTTGCCCCAAGCACAGGTCAGGGTTCTGCCTCAGGCCCCTCCCCAGGCTCCCCCAGAGAGGCCATGGCATGGCTGAACCCTTGGCTAGAACACTAACAAATGAAAGAAAGCATCCAGTCAGACAAGCAGGCTGGCCTGGCCATGGCGGCTGTTGATTTGTCAGACACCCACTCTGGTGACACTGGTGGTAAATTGCAGTGAATGCCGTTGGCACTTGGCCAGAACGTCACTGTTGGTGTTGGTCATCAGGGCCGTCACAAGGTGGAGGCCGGACATCTCAGCCAGAACCCCACCCGCAGTTGCCATCTCCAGACCCGGGTGAAGGTGCCTGCTCTTCCCATCTGAACCACTCCTGATGCTTGACAGACGGACAGGTGTGGACAGGCCGTCTCCCATCACCAGTCACTGGCCAGGAAGCAGAGAGAGACAGGCATCGCATCTCAGACCAGGCCAAGGCAGCACCGACACGTGTGTGAAAAGTCCCTTCTGCCTCGTCCAGCTTCCCTGTACCCTCAAGACCACCAGGCTCTCCACGGAGGCCAGCATGCAAATGGACCACCTGAGCCCTGTATCCGTAAGGCGAGGGCCGGTGAGGGCAGGAGGGGTCTCTGAAACCCCCCCCCCCCAGAGAGCAGCCTTGATTCCCATCCACTGATGGCATTTCAAAGCCTGCACCCTTAGGGGCGTCTCCTGACCCCTGCGAACATCCTTCAAAACCAAGGGACTTGGGGAACCAAGCGCCCAGAGTGGCTGAATCCAGTGTGCACCTCTCTCTTTGATGCCGCAGTTCCTGTAGACCTAGGATCCCAGGGACATTGGGTGTGGGGTGTCCCAGGGTTCCCCCAACCCAGGACAGGGGCAGAGGGGATGGGCAGGAACGCAGCCACCCGGAGGTCACTCTGGTCTCTAGTTTCCTTCTGTGACTGCTGATCAGAAGAGGGACAGGCACTCTCCCCAGGCTCATTTCACTCCCCCAGGAGGCCTGGGTGATCCAGTCCTCCACACAGGAGCATTTGAGGGGCATCTGATCCCCTCCAAGGTGGCAGGGAGCCAGCCGGAGCCCTGGCCTCCTGCAGGAAGCCCTGGGGAAGGGGGCCTCGCAGGAGAATCAGTCTGCCGGCTGCCCTCCTCACACTGCTCCTCCGGCTGCTCCGGTCTGACCACCTCCCCTCGCACCCCCATCTCTGCCCCTCCCTCAGGGGAGCTCCCCTTGATCTGTAGCCACACGTTTTCTAGAAAGTTCTGTGGCTGCTGAGGAATGCGGCTCTCAGGCAAATACGCGCCCCCAGGCAGGCCAGGAACGAAGCTGAATAGCAGGTTGTTTTTTTTTTAACTCAAAATGGCAGCTGCCAGGAAACGTGCAGCTACACGCTCCGAAGCGCGCGGATGCTCCCACTTCGTGTTTGAAAAAAAGAGCCTGCCCCAAGCCTGGCTTGGAACAGCACGGGGAGGCCATTACTTGTCCGTAATTCACAGCGAGGTGGCAGAGGCCTACGTTCATTCTCGGGCTTGGAACTCAGGGCCAACACCCGCCAGGCTAACATCCTCCCCTCTCCAGGGCACAGGTCCCAGGAGCTGATGCCTTCTGAAAAATCCCCCGGCCCTCAAAAACAGCTCTGCCCACCCCTGCTTGTTTAACAAATGTTCATCTCCACGGCATCTCCCTGGCTACAGCCTCCGAGCCCCAACCACCAGCCGTCCCTCGGGAAGACTGAGCCGCGTCACCACCATCGTGTTCACCCAAGTACTCACTGGGTAGTTTTGAACCCTTGGCTCGTGGTCACACAGCTTATTTTCAAACGGCACAGGAGCCTCAGCGTGCAGGCCTGGCCATCCTCCCTTCCCTGAATGACACAGTCGTAGCTGCACTCGGCGGCACCTGCCTGCAGCTGGAGGCTGCTCCACATACAACGAGCAGGCTCTGCCGAAGCCCACCCGGGGTCCGCTCCCCACCACGCTGCTGTGTCCACCAGACGGTGATGGCCAAAGTGATTTAGAAGCGATTCACACAGCAGCGTCAAACCCGGCGTGACTCTTCTGTGCTGAATCCCCCGGGGTGGAGGGGGTGAAGAACCCAGAGCCTGGGGCTCTGCCAGAGTCCCTCCCTCCCTCCCTCGTCATGGCAAAACCCACACTGGGCCTCCTTGGTTCCACCAGCTCCTGGGACCCTTCCCTGTCTCTCTCCAGAGCAGTGCCTCCCCGAGACCCCTCACTTGGGCAAGCCCTTGGGTTCCCAGCTCTGCCTCGAGGCTGCCAGGAGGATGAAGACACGCTTGGAGCATGTTCTACACCTGCCTGCAAAGAGGGCTGGTAAAACTGAGGGAATTCCTGACCCCGTACAACATGTGTTGCTGGTACATATCCTCCACCCTTGAACCTGATCCTCTCTGGGTGTCGGCGGGCTGACCTGGCTCTCCCTGGGTGTCAGTGGGGTGCCCAGCAGCCCAACTCTGGCCATGGTAGGACCCTGGAGGGAGCATGGTACAGCCAGCCCACTGCATTCCAGACTGCAAAATCCCAGCAGCCAGAGGCCAGCAAGGAAGTGGTCCTATTTTACTGTGCTGCTTGGGAAGCGGCAGGCAGCCGGACTCCTGCAATGGACGCTGCGCTGAGAGCCGCCGGCAGCTCTCCTTTAAAGCACATTTAAGTGATTGCTGTCTCACTATGCCGCTGCACTAATAACACCAATAAAGGTATCAGGGATATTTAATAAAACACACACCTTAACTGAGTTATTACTCCATGAGAAGGCCACGAAGGAGAGGGACCCTCTCCCCAGGGCACTTTCACCTGCGGAAGAGGCCGTACAGGGGTGGGACGGGGGCAGGGGCGGAGGGGGTGGGCAGGGCAGCCAGCAAGTGCCTCACAGTTGGCTTGGCCTCTGAGTAGCCCTGCTGCCCTGAGGAGACAGAAATATCATCCCAAAGCCAGAGGAGGCGGGGCCATGCCCCTTCCCAGCTCTCTGAACCCAGACAGGACCCCAGCTCCCTCCCAGCATCACCACGATGCACTCCAGTTCCCAGCAGCAAGGAACCCCTAGAAAACCCTGACCCCAAGCCAGGCCCTGGGCTGACTGCACAAGGCCCACATGCAAGTTCCCAGCTACCTCGGAAATACATCCGCCACCATCGTCATTTCACCAGCGAGGCAGCAGACTGCAGAGCTGCCCGCTTCTGTCCCAGGCCACAGGGACTGTGCCCTGGCAGTGCCCACTGTGCTGATCACAACAGACGAACAACGAGACACAAGCAGGCTCACGGTCCTGGAGTCCAGAGGGTGGTTGTGTGTGCCTGCAATGGCAGCCATGGCTGGGCCAGGTCAAAACTAGGGCCCAAGTACATGAACCAGGCGCGTCAGCACGGAGCTGAGTGGGAAGTAAAGCAGTGCGGCTCAGAGCAGCCCTTGGATCTGGGATGCCACTGTGACAAGTGACAGCTTAACCAGCTGTGGCAGGACACCAGCCCCAATTCACTGCACAGACAGGAAAACCCAGGCGTCCTGTGGCTGCTTGGGGGGAGAGACACGCATAACCCACTCAGAGCTTTCATGGACAGTACTGTGGTGCTAAGGCTACACTGGGGCTGCTGGGAGAGACAACTCAAGTGCTTAGCTAAATGGGGGAGGGAGGCTTTGACCCTGTATTAGGGCCAGCATCTCTGGTGCGTCACCTCATGGTCCTCGTGACCCTTCCCGGCAGCAGCCTCCTCAGGGGCTCACCTTTGGCAGGTGTTCTCCGTGTGAGATTCGGCTTCTGGGCCAGGACACCAAGATCCCTGAGGACAGTGCCCAGTCTCCAGCATGGTCACTAACACAAGCATCCTTCCCAAACCATGAGCAGCCAATGGTGGCACGGCGGCCAGCAAATAATGCCCAGTCTTCTCAGCTGTCTGCCAGCAGGAATGGACTTGGGCACCAGGACCCTGGGAGAAGGGACTGGACCTTGCTAAGTTCCTTCCACATCAGTGTGGTGGACACGCACCTGCCTCCCCAGGGAGCCACACTGCAGGGAAGAACCATCATGGCGCAGTGCCCAGACAGGGATCCCACACCCACAGGCTCTGGGGTGCAAGGGAGAGGCAGAGACCCCATGACACACAGAGCATCCATGTCCTGCATTCTGTGATTTCCAGCCATCAGTACCAGGAGGAGAGTGTCTGCCCAGGCGAGCCAGACTCTGCACTGTGCCTTCCACTCTGGGTCATCTCCAGGGCAGGGCTGGGATCCGCACTGCCAGCAAACAGCCTATCTTTCCCAAGTGGCCAAACAGACCCAAAGGCACCTCATTGCCACTTCTGCCATGACCTGCCACAAGCAAGTCAGCCTCCTTAAACATACTGCTGACAGCATTGCCAACTCCGTGCACTCGCCATGCCCTGGCCACTCCTTGGTCCCTGGTCTCTAGGCACATCTCCATGCCCCACCTCCTGCTACCTGGAGCACCTGCTTCATTCTCTACCTGCTCAGGTGGAATCTCCTCTGAATTCTCAAGCCAGGTGTACAGATCTACACAGTCTACCGACCATCATGTTAAGG